CGTGAATGAAATTAACGGGCTGCCAAGCTCGTCATGACGGTGCCTACGTGGGATTAGCCGGATGGCGCGGGGTCTTCCCTGCGTCTGCTCTGGAGTCAAAATAAAGTTTTAATCACATCATCATCGTCATCATCATCATCAAAGCCACAAAGAAGCTACCACTAAAGCTGAAACTTACTGCTTGCAGAGGACCCCGTGTACCTGAAGGACGAAGCAGAACGAAACTTCTACACCATGAAGGAGACTGGAGCGTATTACTACGGCTCTGAAAAGAACTTCGGCCAACGGGAGTGGAACTACGGCCAGGTACTGAGACTATATCTCGACAGCCATCATGGCCAGCAGGAAAGGCACTTTGCCTTTCCTGAAAATTAAAGTTGTCATGGTTGCCATTCTGGAACTTCGATACAAAACTTGGAAACGTTTGGGAACGTGAAACCACCACGACATTTATGACGAACCTCTCGACCGCACTGACCAGGAAATTTGCACGCAAAATTTTCTGCTTTCCGTTATTTTCCCGCTTCTTTTTAAAGCTGATAATGCAGTTCTTTCTCTCAACAAAGTGTGCATTAAATTTTGAGGAAATACTGACAAAGATGGGCATTTATTGTTAATTTCGCACGGACTCATTAAGTAACGTATGTTATTTTTAATGTCCATTTAAAGCAGCACACACGCTTATTTGACGTAAAAGGTTGCGCAAAAAGGACTGTTACCAGTTTCCGGCGCGCTCACTGGTGAACGCGTGTGAGAATACGACCCCCCGCTCTCAACTCGTGCAGTTCGAGAAAGTCACGCTGGCTACGATCGAGTTTCTCCTCAAAGCAGTGGTCGCCGACGGAGTGCAGCGGTCCGACTGCGTCAGTCTGGTGCGCGCACTGTGCGCGGCGGTGAGTACGTCTTTTTGACTTTATTGCTTTTCTACGTTTCTGGCACTGAATTGTCACTGCTGAATGGAAGTGTAACAAAGGCACCAGCTGCTTCAATGTAGCTAAACAAATATAGTAGCATGTGAAGCGAAAAGTGTAACGGCTCATACGTTTCCACGCAGTGTGAGACAGGCTGGGCTGTGAAGCTTTTCGCATTACGGACTTTGCATCTTGAATTTGTTTTCTTTTTTTTTAATTCAAAGTCACCGTGAACCCCGATTGCAGAAATTCTCCTCAAGATAAAGGTTTTTGGCTGTTACGGAAATACGGCACGGCTTCTTTCCGTATGCGCGTACAATGGCAGCGCATGCGCACTCATCAGCCGTTTCTGTATTGCCGCCTTTCCGTAACGTGGTTCCGTAGCTTGCTGAAAACCCCTAATATTATAGCCACTGATGGCCCACGTCATGCGTCGCTTAAGCGTTGTCACCATCAAAACCTCATCGCCCCGAAACTACTTGTAGTTTTGGTGCGCAGCAACCTTGGCTTCAGATGCATGTGAGCCATCGTGTCCAAATATACAACAACCTTGCTGAGATTTTCAGTTCAACGATGTGTGAGTTATTTGTACCCGAAGGGTCTGAATAACGCAAGCGCAACACCACAGCTAAATAACTAGAAAACTGTATGTTAATTACATTATCTGCTTGAAATCACAGGCTGATAATCATTCAGAATTTCGCGATACTATAGGCAGCTTTACAATAACGTGCGCAAAGCTTTGCGTTAGCGTTTTACGCCCCTGCGCATGCTTCATACGTTTTTTTTTTTTAAACTCCCAACTTAGAAGATTCGTACTTCCAGATCAACGTGCAAGACGACCAGGGCCTACTTATTGGTCGTTGGTCGGACGATTACAGCGCTGGCACCAGTCCGAGCGTCTGGAGCTCGACCATGCCCATCCTCAACAAGTACATGGAAAGCGGAGGAAACAGCGTTAAGTACGGACAGTGCTTCGTGTTCGCCTCTGCCCTGGTCACTGGTAAGCAAGCTGGCAGCTTGTCCCCCATAGCATGCGAAGCGGAGTAATTTGCGCAGCTTCAGTTGAATCATCCCAGTGTCACGCGCATGCAAAATATTAGATGCTTACCGTGAATTTTCTTCTGCATCCCGAGAAAACATGAGTAGTCCGTCTCAGTAGCTCAGTGGCTGAGAATTTCGGCTGCTCAAACAAAGGTTGCGGGTTCGATTCCAGCCGAGGTGGTCGCATTTCATTGGAGGCGAAATGGTAAAGGCCCGTGTACACTGTGCGATGTCACTGCACCTTAAACACCGGATGGTCGGTTTTTAGTGAGCCCTCCACTAGGACGTCTATCATAACCACATCGTGATATCAGCAGGTAAAACTCCAGATACTATTACTACGATAACCACGCTGCCAAGTTCAGTAAGCCTCTGTGCTTAGAAAATCATCGGGAGCGTTAACACTTGCTCTGTCATAGTCATTAGAAGACAGAGGTCGAGAGAACAGCCGAGAAGCAACAATGCGTTGTCCTACAGATGCATCAGCGCGAAAAGTCATGAAGGATGAGCTTTAAGCGTGAAGTGCGGCGCTAATCACTAAGCGATAGGCTCCTCGCGATGCCTCGATGCGCACACTTCCAAATCAATATCAGTCTACGTGCTTATCTGCAACACTGACAAATAATGCTGTCGTATATACTTGCTGCATCTGTTCGCGCTTTCGGTATCACACATTGTCATTTGGCTGAGCGCGAGTAGCGATGTACTGAATGGTACCTATATTAAAGGGAACCTTTATGTGCGCAGTGTGCCACACTTGCCCGCACACCAATTTATTTTATCCCACAGACGCTCGAATAAAATGGGCGACTATTGACCAGCCTCACCACTGTCGCTTGCCTCACACCACTGTCCTTGCAACATCGATGAAAAAACACCGCCACATGTTTCACGGCGGGAGGTGTGAGGGATAAGGAGAAGTGTCCGGCAGTGTTAAGAAGGGAACTGAAGCTTATGAGCACGTAATTGTCGAAGTTCGCTAAATATTTCTCACCGTATACAACATGCATGCGGTACATTTCTACAAGGAGAAGCCTTAAAAATATCCTGTTGCGTTATCTAGCCTTGCTAGATGATGAAAGCTTCGCCAACACGAATTTCCGTAGTGCCGTGTAAGGTCCTACTAGTTTTCTTCCTTCCTTACACAGTGGGCCTTCTCACTGCGTAATGCACCGCTACACCAATAAATCGCAGTAATGTTGACTATGCCAACAAAAACAAAAATTATCGGGAGTTTTTTTCGATCACGCTTCATGGTTGTCTTGACTTATTGCATGCTAGCAAAAAAAAATCTAAATGTCCAAGAAAAAAGTCCACACATCACCACGAAGTGAATGATGACTAGTCGGCTAAGCTGAATTCTAAGGTCCACAATGTCTACATTGAAGTCGCCGGTTAGTATATAAAGGACGAACGGGCGGCGCAGGTTTTTTTTTTTTTTTTCACGGCTGTGTAGAAGGTGTTGTGATACGAATGTGGATGCTGGTACATCGCCACACGAGGCTAGCCCGGAGTGTCACCCCTAAAAGGCAGCGCGCAGCGACAGCAATATATTACAGAGATTGCAAGAGATTCGTTTTTTTTTTTTCGTTTTAACTGTTCTTATACCAGCATTGATCGTCGTGGAATTTCCCCATCAGTTAGCCGCACTGTTTTCGAAGCCTCAGTTCATAGTCTGGTACTTGGTAACTGCTGCGATTGTTCTTGGAGCAAGACATTTTTCGTCCGCGGTTTAATCATGAATCGGGAATATAGAGGCGGTGAGATAGACGAACGTATGACGATAATATGCCCTACTCTTAATATTATCTGGGAATAAAGCTATTGGAGATAGGTTTTTGACGATCTAGCGTTAGGAAGTACTTAGAGTGCATCCAACAGCAAGGAAGACAAGCAGGCTGTTGCAGACACTCTGACAAGTACAGTAGCGCCAAACAGCATTTGCCGTTGTTTAGTCTACAACGTTCGCCACGCAAAAAAAAAAAGAAAAAGCTGTGCAGTCACATGCGCTAACAGAGACGTTCTGAATCCACAAATTCGCAAATATAAGGGATTCAAAATAGCCAATTTTAAAATGTGTTTTTGCATTTAAATATGCCGTACAGGCACGTTACGCTTACTTATTTTATAATTGTACACGCGGAAGACGCAAAAACTACGAGTGTTTTACATGAGAAACCATACCATGTAAATTCATTTTCGTTTCGAGTAGGCATTAAATATTATCTGCGCATAACTGTCTAGGCTGTTTTGCACAGTTTTTTTTTTCGTGGCTGCTACACCACAGCGTTAACATCTGTGACGCAGTTTTGCGGGCGTTGGGCATACCGAGTCGCAGTGTGAGCAACTTCCCTTCGGCCCACGTCGAAGGAGACGACATGTCGCTAGACTTCTACTTTGACGAAAAGAACAAGGCCATTGAAGGAGCCGACATGGAATGGTGAGTGATCGAGAAAACGTCCGTTTGTCTCTAACTGTCCGTCGATTTGTGCAAACCATGAAAGAATTTAGAGCAAGCTTCGTTTATAAGTTAATTAGGTGGCGACTATTGAAATTCTGCAGCAGATTAAGTGCGCGGTTATAAAGCGTTGACGAATGCGCCGTGTCTAGTTGCCATTCATAGGGCTTATAGAAACAAGATATATTGCTTGGATACGTGTTATAGAGTGTGGAGGGCGTGCGCCTGATGCAAGCTATCAACGTATAACCCACATACTTATTATTATTATTATTATTATTATTATTATTATTATTATTATTATTATTATTATTATTATTATTATTATTATTATTATTATTATTATTATTATTATTATTATTATTATTATTATTATTATTTAGTTAACAAAACCACAAAGTTTAAAGGACGCGACCGGAATTTCGCACAGTGCTTTAGCTATTCACCTTTTATCTGAAATGGGACCAATCAATGTTATCAATCCCCTGTAAAAATACTGGGCGCACAAAAGTGTGGATGCATCGTTGGATGTATAAGAGGTAAGATGTGTCAACATCCATGACCCGCAATCATCGGCTGAACGATAGAACCGTTTCTTTTTCTCTAGGAATTTCCACGTGTGGACCGAGGCGTGGATGGCACGTCCGGACCTGCCGACAGGGTACGGAGGATGGCAAGCTGTGGACAGTACGCCCCAAATTGTCAGCGAAGGTGCCGTCTAACACTTGATGCGTTCGTTAAGACAGCATGAGCATCTTCTTTCGGAGATTCGCACTGCTCGCGCAAAAAACGCTGTTTCAGCATGTATACATTCACAGGGAGCGCGTGACGAAACTACATGCACCTTCGAGAAACGTGCCGTCTACTGTCGAGAGGATTGCCCTAGATAGGGTGTTCGCCAGAGCAGCACTCTCGCCAGCAGACGGCGCAGACGACATTTTCACCACTGCTCCCGTGGTCCGTACACTTTTGCTCGCGGGTGTACATGCACACATCGCTTGGTGGCGTAGACTGAGACATGTATGCCTGCTGGAAGAAATGAAGTACCTATAGGGCACGGGTAAAAGAACTTGATATTCAGCTACAAGAAGACGCTCTTTTGTTCGTTGCACCGTGCAAAACACGATGAAAGTCTTTACGTTCATATTCAAGTATTTCCGCTGTGCCATAAGTACATGTGACATAAATATTTGGTGAGCAACAGCGTTATGGCACCTGTATCTGCTTTAGCTGCACAAGGTGAAAATGGTTTTCGCGGATTTCTCAAGTGCTGAAAGTTCCATGGGCGCGTGTATAAATTTGCTAACAGTGGTAGAACTTGAAGTGGAGAAAGTAGCAAGCTTTACATGTCAAAAGGACGATACGATTATGAGGCAAGCCGCAGTTGTGGGTGGACTCCAGATTAAGTTCGGTCACCTGGCGTTCTTTGACCTGCCCCAAAATGTAAGTATGCCCGGATGTTTTCACACTACGTCACTATCAAAATGTGGTCACCGCGGCCAGGAATCTGACCCGCGGCCTCGACCTTAACATCATGAAACCTCGGCCACTAAAATACGGTGCCATTTCGAGAACTTCAGAAGTATGTCGCATACCAACCTAGCAAACAGATAAATGATAATACTTAGCCCTGACACTCAGTGTCACTGGACGACAACTGGATCGCTTAGATCCATTTTACGTGTTTGTTTCTTTTTCTTTTACGAGTGCTCATTTTTTTCACTTGAAGGAAGCAATGAACGATCCATCTTTGCAGGAATGTATAAAGTAGGGCCCTACCCGGTGAAGGCTATACGAGAGAACAGAACCGACTTGAAGCATGACGGCAAGTACCTAAGCGCAAGCGTGAAGGCGGTCTACAGGTATCACAAGAAGGATCCCTCGCACCCCAAGGGGTGGAAACTGGTCTACGAGAAAAACAACATGCAAGTATATCTAGCCGGCTAGAGAAAAAATGACATATTCGTTTTGATTACACTCACGCAAAACAGCGAAAACAGCGATGCCATCACCTCCCTAATACGATGACAAATGATTAGGCTTGTTAAGTGTAATACCATATCGTACCAAAGAATAGTTAGGTTGTGGTTGTGTCATTCATTTTCTCTACGTTCTCCCCCCCGTAGGTTTGCTGTACTAAGCCTGCTATTGAGGTTTGTATATAGGAATTTGCTTGTAACATCATGCTCAAAGCCTCAGAAACGAATATAGAGCTTTTTCATAACATTTGCCTGCATACAGGGGTGCAAAGTGAGAACACTTCACAGTGGTGCTCACAAAAAGACCAATCTTCAGGGTTACTAATATATACATTCCTTCGGTTACATGAGTGGTGTTGCTATATATTATGTGTAGGAATATATAACAAAGCAGCTGTGCCCTGGTTAGCACAGCCATTGATCTGCGGCTTCTGCGTCTTCATATTTACTATATAAAACTCTAGCTGGTGCACACAAAATTAAAGCCTGAATTTACTTTAACATGTAGCCCTTTTTCAGGTGTGGCCGGCTGATTCTAACAGAGAAATTTAACCCAAATGGCGGCCGACTGCAACCCGACGACATCACCCACACGTACAAAGGACCAGGTGATGATTAGTAAAAATCATAGAATCAACAAAAGTCTACTACATAATCCCAGCTTTACTAGTGGTTTTTCTGCATTTATTTAAAGAATTAGTGTAAACAATTTCATCATGGTGTAAATAATGCATCATCGAAGTCATCTTGTCTGGGCAAGTTGGTGCCTGATATGCGAAGTTAACCAGCAGGAAAGACGAGACAGAAGAAAAGTCACAGCTTTATTGCCTCAAAGGCGAAGCAATGAATGCGATAGCAACAAATTGAGATGTCACGCGAAAAATGGAAAGCATATGGAAACGTGCTCCGCGTTGCTCACGCACAAATAACGCACAAAACGTACTCACAAGTACAGATGAACGCGAATAAATGTCTGAGTTGTTACTTCACTGTGTCTGAAAGGCACACCCTTTAGCGAGTGCAGTGACCTTCGTGCGCCCGGTAACTACAGCAGAATCGTTCCGGTGAAAGCCCAAGGCGTACGATTCCCCCCACTTTGAGATAAGCGCACGCACACGTGAGCGTCTGAAACAACCGACATTTGCTTGGTCCCCCTTTTTTATTACTCCTTGGACTTAGCTATTAGGCAATATTTTACCTAAACCTTGCAGCTTCACTGACGCACGCTATAAGCGATGCATACCATGCACTTTTTTTTCATTCTTATGTGTACAAATCTAATAATCAAGGCTAAAGAGTAGACCCGCCGAGCGGCTAGCATGCTCAACACACGATTGCACACCCATTGAGTGAATCTGTGGTTCGCCGTCGCAGCGGCACAGCCTCGTGGCGCCACAACGGACCTGATTCAGGTGCGGCTGGAGCACGAGAAACTGGTGCCCGTCGGCCAGTCGGGACGGGTTCTCTGCACGATCACCAACAACGACCTGGAGGAGCACCGCGTGGGTCTAGCGCTTACCGCCTACTCGGCACCATACAGTAACGTCAGACCTAACGCACTCGTCAGCGCCCAGCGGGACTTTTGCCTGCAAGCGGGCTCATGTAAGCATAATCCTATATATACCATCCGCAACAAGGGAATTTCGCCCTGCGTTTAGGTGCCATCATAAAATACGCGAGGAGGGGGTTCGAACTTCTATTCGCTGAATACGATGCAGCGATATTACTGATCCCGTATATGCATACCATAAGCATACCTTATAGCGGTAAGCAGCCATCTTGTCTATGCCGTCGATGAGACTATTGAAAAACCTTTTGTGTTACTGCCCCGGCATGCGCAAACTAGAAGATTCTCGTCTGCACTGTTCTAAATCAACTATAGACTGAAGTGACTTTACAGTCACGAAAGTATTGGGACCATGGCGCTGCCCATCCCAGCTCCGAAAGGCAACAAAATCACTGTTGCGTTTCTTCAAGGACATCGGTCTGATTCATCGTTTGTGATGTGAAACGTGAAACTGTTACGCGTAGAACCCATTCAGTGAGTTATCTTTCCTCCACAATAACTTTCCTTCCCCCTTGCTCAGTGCAGAGTAGCCTACCGGGGCTCAGCCCTGGTTAACCTCCCGCCTTTCCCCTTATTCTCTCTCTCTTGTCTACGTCTGTGTGAGTCTTTATATATTTCCTTGTAGATAAAGCATTTAACTTACCGGGTAACCGCTGCACAAAAAAAGAACAGGGGCCGGAAAATCCGGTGTATCACATCGGGGTGGAAGTTCTCCTTGTTTCGTGTCTTCCTTTCCCGGCTCACTTATCAGACTCACTTCTCTAAATCAGACATTTTTCACTGTTAAGCTTTACACGCACAACAAATTGACATGAATATATTTGTTACCTCGAATTGCAATCTCTATGGACAGGCTTTCGAAGTTTAAAAAAAGTTGTTTTCTCAATAAAGTGATCCAACACGCCATCCTTAAAACATTAATACGGTTGCAGCAATGTGTTTGTGAAATTATATTTTTCAATGTCACAAAACTGTGCACCAAAAAAGCGTACACACTCCTTTTATTTTTATTCTAAGATAACATGAAGTTTAGAGAGGCGGGATATTTGAACTCAATCTTCGGTATCGGACACTTTTTTGGTACCTTCTCTGAGTTTTCAGCTTACGCCCTGACAGTCGAGGACATTGGTTCGATTCTCGACCACAGCAGCTGCGTTACGATGCATGCGAAAACGCCCATGTGCTTGGGTTTACAGCACTTCAGGTAGCCGAAATTAATCTGGAGTCTTCCACACCAGTACGGCGTCCCTCATAATCATATCGCAGTCTTTGCTTTTCAAACCTTTTTTTCCCTCTCGCGTTGACGTTCTCTCGTCACTTGTCCTGTGCATTATAGTCTCGCGACTATTCAACTGCGTGATATTCGAAAATCAACTTCCAAATTGTGAATAATAGGCTGTGCTTCCTCCCCATCACACCAAGACCCACAATTAGTTTGGCTCGAAAATGGTTCATTTGTGTAATTAGGGTGACGGTCATAGCTTGCTTAATTACCAACATATATCCCTAACAATTATGCCATGGCCTCACCGCCTCAAAAAAAAAAGAGATTTTGTAACACCACTCCTATTTCCGATGGCTTCGTTCCCTGAGAGTATAAAAATGAATGAAGAAGGAAATAAATACCTTACACATCTTCATTGTGGCTGAACGACTACGCGAGTTATATTTCTCGCTATATACTCAGTACGGCGTGCGGAGTTTAAGGGTCAGCACTACTGTGTTTTGTACGTAGCTGACGCGCTGGAGCTACTCATCTCACCCGAATGCTACGTGTCCAAGCTGTGCCCTGAAGGTATGATTCTCTTGGAGGCTGTCGCCACATACGGAAATGATTTTACCACTGCCAGAAGCAACTTGGCTATCCAGATGCCCCAGCTGGAGATTCAGGCAAGTAGTGGCGATAACATTTGCTCGTTTTTCTTTGCATTTCCATTTCTGTTTGATGTGGCTACCTTGTTGCACAACGGATGTCGAAATCTAAGACATTTTCCCAAAATCATGCGTCGCTTACTACCTGAAAGCATATAAATGTGGTCTAAACTTCATATTTAGGAGATGACGGTAAATGGACAAATAAATTCGTATTCAATTTATTCATTGCCAGAAAGCACGTCTACGGCTACATGCACTATGTGTTCTCGTAGTTCACGCAAATGAAAGCTTCTTGTCTGTAGTAGTTTACGATGTTCGTATATCTCATTTGCCCCGCCGCGGTGGTCTATCCGGCTGCTGACCCACAGGTCGCGGGATCGAATCCTGGCTGCAGCGGCTGCATTTTTGATGGAGGCGAAAATGCTGCAGGCCCGGGTGCTCAAATTTGCGTGCATGTTAAAGAATCCCAGGTGGTCGAAATTTCCGGAGCCTTTTACTACGGCGTCTCTAATAATCATATGGGGATTTTAGGACGTTAAACTCCACATATTGAATCGCATATCTCTCTTCTCACTCGTCGAAACATCAGGTTATGTTCAGAAGTTTAATCACGCCCATTAGGTCTTCATCACTTCTCACTTTCGTATGTTTTTTGCACTTTGAGAATTTCGACATCTGAGTGCGTAATACTTGACCTAGCTAGCAAGCTTTCGTAGCTTTTTTTTTTCTTTTCCTGTCTCTGTAAAACAGCTCAATATGTGAAACGCTTGACTGCAATGTTCACACTAACGCCTTAACGGCACTGGTCAGCAAAAATTTTAAAAGAAGTTCGGCATCGATTGTCCTGTCTAGTGTTCAATATCTTCCCTCCGAAAAAAATTAATTGGAGCGTTAAAATTGTTTTAGCGGTGTAAATTGCTTAGCGTGTGTTTCAGGAAGTACTGATAGCGATTCGGTTGCATGATAATGGTGTGCTACATACTCATGCGCTCATATTTAACACATTGGCAACACTTCAGCGAAAAGAAAACGTGTTATTTGTGAGTAGGTGTTTCGCGGCAGAGTGCGCATGGGAATCGAGCGACGAGCGTTTTGTCCATTTGTTCAAAAACAGGTCTCACGCAAGGAGACTCCCGTGGGCGCTCTGGCGTATAAGCTGACGATGAAAAACCCGCTCAACGTGGCGCTCAGCAATTGCGAGCTCACTGTCGAGCTACCGGGGTCAACTGCCTTCCTGGAAAAGATCGCACTCAAGTAAGTTCAAGGCCGCACCAGTGGAACGATGGTCTACACAAGGTGTTCAAGAAATGTGTCCAATATTCTTTAAAAATCACAGAAATGAGGTATCTGCATGATACTTGCGGCGTTGTGGCAGAAGGCATCTTCAGATGCGCACAAACATTCATTACCCCGATAAATATCAAAATTAACACAATTATCTTTTTAACCAGTGGTGATAGCCGGTCGAGTCAAATGGGCGAATTCAAGCCCTTCCTACGAGTAGGCCATTGCCACTTTGAAATTCTGGAAATGCGCGTTTCCGAAATTTCGCGACACTGTTTCCCTCGCCGTTATCGACCGTCAATTTAGACACTTCGCTTCGAGGCCGCCTATGAAAAGCTCGCTTATTCTCCCCCAATGCGAGGGAAACAGTGTCGTCATTGAGGGTGTTGTTGAACTGAATGGTAGATGCGCTGCTTGGTGCATCGGTTTCGATTTCACCAGCTAAATTGTGCAGAGTGCATCGCTCTGCAGTGATTACCAGTGACCACTTTCCCAAAATTTCTAAGTGGTTATGGACTATTCGTAGGAAGAGCTTGAGTTCGCCCATTTAACTCGACCGGATATTACTACTGGTCAAAAATTTGATTGTGTTAATTTCTATGTTAGTGCCGTAATTAATGTTTGTACTTATCTGAACATGCCTTGTGCCACAGGAAGGCATCACCACTAGTAGCACGCAGGTACCTCTTTTCTGCAATTTTTAAAGAATTGGACACATTTTTAAAACACCCTGTATAAAAATTGTATTACATCGGACAACTGCGGGTGAATATATGTCGCTGATTAAGTTGACAACGGCAACGAATCGTTCCGTGCATCTGTGATTAGCTTGGAGCCTGCAAGAGTGCGCATTGTTGCGAGAAGTTTCGTCTGGAGCAGCCGTGAGAGAGAGAAAATGTAACTTTATTTGACCGAAGGATTCGGACATGTTCGTCCCAATGTACCCTCACGAGCCCACTGCGTTATGAGTTCATAAGTTCATGTAGCTCCATGACGTGAGTGGCCCGTTCAGCAGTGAAACTCTCGAAGTGCGAAGGCTCGGTAATTACGTTTGCTTGCATGTGCAAAACGGCGACAACAATTATTACGTCCGGGCAAAAAATACGGTTTCACTAATGTTACAGTTTGCCCGCAAGTTTTGCACTCTTTATTTTCTCGAGGAAGCTGCGACACATGTAAAGGTGGCCTCATATTTTTTTTTAACTTCGAAAAGCAAACATACCTCGTCATCTAACTTTATTGTGGCTACTTTATTTTCAATAACCGCGAATCGAGTGCTTTGTACCGAAAACGTAAGTTCACGTAAGTATAAGCTTTCCACAAAAGACACTTCACAATCACAGCGTAGTATATATGCTTCAGTGAGCCTTTAGTTCAAGTTTCGATTCCCGATATCACGGCGTAGGTCTTGTAAGTTTTGTAACGAGAGGCCTTTAGATCTTCTCCATGGCTAGAACCCTAACTTCTTATAAACACACTTTTCCGTTTCACCACACTCACCTGGCTGCTTCAAGCGAGTACCTGAAGCCCCGTAATCATTGTTTTCGCAATAAGTAGCTTCATATTCTTCTCTATCACCAAGTTTATTCTGTGTGTCTTTCCAGTAAAATCATTCTCCCCGTAACATCTTTGGTGGAGGTGCTAAGTACTCACTTCATGCAAGACGAAGCTTCGTAGTGGGCACCTAGTTGCCTCTTTCATGGCGACTGAAGGGAACAATGCCAACCCTTCCCCGTTTACCGTGCCCTTTCCAACTACTTACGTGCGTTCTCCAAACGGCCCGTCAACTTTCATCTTGGAGCCCCCAAGAGATCCAGGTACGTTTTCTGGCACCGATGGCGTTGACGAAAAAGCACGGCTGAAGTCATACGAGTGAGTGGGTGTACGTATGCGATGGGACCCAAAGCTCCAGCTGGCCAACATGATTTTCTATCTCAGAGCCACCGCAAAGGTCTGCTATGAAACGCACGAAAAAGAGCTGATCAGATGGAAGTTATGCAAGCAAAAGCTCCGGTAACTATTCGGCAGGCCTGTGGAAAGTCAGCGCGCGGCCCAAAAGGAAATCGCTCGTCGGGTTCAGACGTGCATCGAATCCTACATCACGTACATTCAGACGTGCTTGCTTTGTGCCGAAAGGTGGACTCGCAGATAGATGTCCAAAGCCGATAAAGTTGGCCATGTTATTAAGGGCATAGCAGATGGCGCCTTTCACCTTCTTGTGTTCAAGAATTTATGTACGGTCCAGAACGTCATCTCTGAAAGCCGGCGCTTTGAAGAAGCCAAGAGCCGACGTGTTCTCCAAAAGTTTGCCCGCCTTCCAAACACGGCTGCGACATCCACGTGCGTAGACCCTCGCCTGCCTTCTACGGAAAATCCCGGTAATGTTGTCCGTATTGTCCGCCGGGAAATCAAACCCGCGGCTCCACTGCCGTCACTCTGCCCCAACTCCGACAGCTATCACGCCACCGTCTCCCTCATCCGGACTGTCGTGAGGCAAGAATCAGCCAGCACCGGCTTGAACAATACCTGCTCCGGTCATCGTTCAGACTACGCCCCACCAAAGCCACCCGTGACTGTTCCGTTCAACGAACGTTTTTCTGCTACCCCACGTTATCGCAACCCGGCTGAATGACGCTCACCAGGCGACCAGCCGACATGCTTCAGTTGTGGTCGTATAGGCCACATTTCGCACCACTACCGTGCTTGGTCCAACTGTGCTCCGAGGCCTCACCCTCCACCCCATCACCCATCTGCATGGAATTCAAGCTCGTCACCACGAACAGAGTCGCTAACGCATGACAACTCCTCGCCACTGGATCCAGCCGCTCCATTTCGCCACAACGCCGTTTCTCCCGGTCACCCCTATCTCGTTGATCGCCGTCCCCAAGCTCCTCCTGGCACTCCCCTCCGGAAAACTGAAGGGAGCACCTCTTGGAGGTGATGCTGCAATACCGACACGACGCCAAAATCCTCTACTTGTCCTGCCAGCACATCGGAACCTTATCAATGTTGACGTGGACGGTGTTCCAACTACGCCGATCATTGACACTGGCACACACGTGTCTATCATGAACGCTGACCTTAGAACACGGCTGAAGAAAGTTCTTACTCCTGGCCCACATTTAGTGCTGCCAATGGTTGAAAAGCTGCTGTAATTGGTGTATGCTCGGCTCGTGTCAGCGTTGCCGGACATCATACATCAGTTCCGTTGTAGTTCTAGAACATTGGCCTCACGACATAATTTTGGGCCATAGCTTTTTGTCGAAACGTTCGGCCTTGGTAGACTGCTCTGCCGGCATAGTGCAACTTGCTGTACCTACTGTTGTTGATCCTCAAAGTTGCCCTCCAAGCCGGCTCTTTTCCACAGAAAACCTGCGTCTCTCTCAACGAACAGTTGCTTACATGTCTTCCCTGTCCAACCTGTACCAGACGGTGTTTATATTGTGTCCCCCAATGTTGACGTCCTGCTTTCGCACAACGTTGCGTTTTCTCACACTGCCGTTCTTATAACGGACAACGCATCCTGCTTACCACTAGTGAATTTCGGCCTATGTACACAAGTCTTCTATCATGGTACATCTTTCGCAGAGTGCCATATATGCACTCTAAGTTATGAAAGCATGCCTTGTGCTGAGAAAACTTCGCCTATTTCTCTATAAGACCAAAGTGTGTTAACCAAGATGATTGCGCCCCACTTACCGACCGAATAATCTAATGACCAGCGTTCCCTCCTTCCATCTTTTTGGGACATCTTAGACCTTGGCGACCACCCCCTTAGCCAGGCGTCCATTTTTCAAGCATCGAATTGACACAGGCGACGCGAGTCCCATTCATCGGCAACCCTACCACGTTTCCCATGCTGAGCGGCGCATCGTCCCACAGGAGGTCGACAAAATACTTTCTCGCAATATCATCGAACCCTTCTGCAGTCTATGGGCAGAACATGTTAAGAACTTGTACTTGTTAAGAAGAAGGACGACAACTGGAGATTTTGCGTCGATTATCGGCATATAAACAAGATCACGAAGAAGAACGTATACCCTTTACCACGCATACATGATGCTCTGGATTTCTTTCATGGTTTTCCTCCATTGACCTTCACTCCGAGTACTCTCAAATTACCGCTAAAGACATGGACCGTGAGAAACAGCTTTTATCACTCCCGACGGCCTTTACCAGTTTAAGCGATGCCATTCGGTTTATGCAAAGAGACCGCCATGTTCGAGTCTATGATAGACGCCCTCCTGCGCGGCTTCAAGTGGTCCATCTGCCTGAGCTACCTGGACGACGTCATCATTTTTCTTTTCTCCATCTTTTTCGACGCAGCTTGAAAGGCTATCGAAAATCTTATCGATCTTTTGTACGGTGGGACTGCAACTCGATTCGGCAAAGTGCCACTTCGGCTGTCGTGAAATGTATGTGCTCGAACATCTCGTTGAATCTGTAGTTCTTCGCCCTTATGAAGATAAAATACTGGCAGTAAAAGATTTTCCTGTACCAAGTTGTGCCAAAGACGTTCGCAGTTTTTAACAAGTTCGAAGTTTTTAACAAAGCGGCGGAAGTAAGAACAGAGGGCCTCTGTCTTACTTCCACCGCTTTGTTAAAAACTTCGCCGACGTCGCACGCCCTCTCACTCAACTCCTCAATAAAGACGCTGGCTTCATATGGGGCCCTGCATTCCGAAAACTGGTGCGGCTGCTTACTTCTCCGCCAATCTTCGCTCGTTTTGACGTCTCAGCTCAAACAGAAGTGCGTACCGATGCAAGTGGCTATGGCATCGGTGCAGTCTTGGCCCAAAAAACAAGAATGCGACTGCGTTGTTGCCTATATATGCCAGCCGCATTCTTTCGCCTGCTGATAGAAAATATTCAATTATTGAACGTTAATGTTTAGCACTGGTTTGGGCAGTCAGGATATTTCGTCCCTATTTGTATGGTCAGCCATTCACAGTCATCACTGATCACAACGCCTTGTGGTGGCTCTCGTCTCGAAAAGACCCTTTCAAGAATTTGACTACTCAGTCCTGTACAAAATCGACCACTTGCATCAAGATTCGGACTGCTTGTCCCTACATTCTGTCAACCCACCAGACAGTGACTCCCTTACTATCAGCTTTTCTGCCAACATTCTCTCTTTATCTGCTTTTCGCGACATTAGAGTCGAGCAGCAACGGTGTACCTTCTTGCACGGTATTAACCGAAGGTGGACGATTGGGCGAGTTGGTGATTCATGATCAACGTATGTAACTGCGCGGTAGTAAACACGGACGACAAGAAGATACAAGGACAAGCGCAGAAGGTCTGCGCTTGTCCTTGTATCTTCTTGTCGTCCGTGTTTACTACCGCGCAGTTACATACGTTGATCATTAACCGAAGGCTAGTATCGGTGACGCCCGACCCTTCTTACGACTTTCAGAGAGGTTGCTCCCACACTATTCAGGTGCCTACCACACCATACGCCAAGGGACTGACGTCACCTACGAAATCACCCCTACGGACTTCGCCATCATTCACCCTCACACTGACATAGAACATGTTACGTGGCTCGAGCCATATCACTCGGGTGCCTCCGATTGGCACCGGGTCGGTGCTCCAGCCGCTGGAAAATCATGTAACGGGCGGACAAGAACTAGGAAGAGGACGGGGAGGAAGACGAGGTTGACAGACTCTGTGAGCTGGGCGTCATCTTGTCCGCCAACGAGTTTACTCTATTCTGTGTGTCTGGCCAGTAAAGTTATTCTCCCCGTAACATTATCAAGATGCATCGCCGATATCGGTTAGCAAGTCTCAGGCTCCACGGAGGGTGCATACAAATTTCTCAGACTTGGTCAGTTCACTTAGAGTTTGCTCAGACATGAGTGCATCCGCGCACATGCAACAAGTGGACACCCCTTGCGCTCATGCCAGTACAGAAGCTCACTGTGCAGGCGGGAGGGTAAGTCCATCGTGTTATCGCAAACTTTCTCGACAGCTATATACGGCACACCGTGATTCCAAAAAACAAATCGTCGTCCTTCTTAACTATAGGCCTTGCAGAGCCTTGGCGAACCGACTTGAAGATCGGACACAGAAAAAAAGAGAAATTAGACGTACTTGAACTGGAAACGAGCAAACGTGGAAACTATCCGACATTCATAAAATATTGCCGTAGCCGAAGGAAAGAAAAATGTAGATCCCAAAACCACCATTATCAGTGCGTGCATGGTTGCGAAAGGCGGAAGCGAGATGCTCGTACGCCTTCCGGTCGGATATCGTCACTTGACATCCGCCAACAGGCATAAAATGCGACGTTTGAAATCGGCTGCTCGACAAAAAAATGGGGGGGGGGGGGGGGAGCAAAAGAAAAGACAGCCTAGAAACCGGCTGTTGATATTTCGCGTTATAAGACTGCAGTAACAGCTATACGGAATGTGCGTTGGCACCTTTGCTAAGCATTGACTTGAAACTCGTCAAAACGGTTTATTGTAACGACAACTACTCTAAAATCAAGTCTTTCGCCATATTTAACCCTATATTTTTTGCCCCAATGTGGCGTAGAAAGCCAGAGGCATGTTTCTCTGGCACACATCTACACTTTTCATTTCGTAAAACGCTGCTTTTTTTCTCTCCCATTCGCCAGAAATGTGCCTCCACGTGGAACGTTCGAGAAGGAAGGCGTCCTCTTCGTCACCTCGCCTGACACCCGGCGCCTTGTGGCGACGTTTATGTCTGCGCAGTTGCCTATCGTGAACGCGACCAAGAATTTCTAGCCTGGAGAAGAGAGACCAGTGGTCGACTGTAGCTTGGCGTTCACTGCCCAAATCACGGGTGTGACGTCACACAGGCTTCTCCAGCTACCGTTATTACTGCACAGTCAACAAGGGGAAGAAAGCACTAAAATAAATGGTTATGGTACTGACAACCCCTCGACTTGCTTAGTGCTGTCACTGCTGGAAGTGTTTTAGGGCCGCCATGTTGAGCTGTTAACCTTTGTGTTTTGCATTTAAACTAACCGCATTGCAGTAGACGCATACACATGAAAACGGCTGAATTTGTGCGTGCGGTGCTTATGGCCTTATGAACAACACAATATAAAAAACAAGAAAACATCGATTTAACAGCCCAAGTACTCAGCAGTTTCTGCGGATCGACCTTCTGAGCTACAATCACGTCTCCGGCAGTGACACAATATTACGTGACATGAATTACCTGTGAACACTTGATACTAGAGGTACTATCACGCAATATAAAGGTTAACGCTATGACTCCTGCAGACTGGCTTCATAGGTAAACCTTTACTGGCACCATGGCGGAATCGGAAGCGTAACGTGATGGAACGTATTAAATGTTCCATCAAGTTACGCAATGTGTTTCAGTTGCTGCTGAACTGGCAACTATTTTAGGGGCGAAGCATCGAAGAGTCTCAGCGTGTCATGTCGGCCATTAACGGGTATGTGCCCCAAAATTGGGTGAATTTCATTATTCGTTACTGGTTCGTAACATGGATGTTATGAGTTGAAGGTTCGTCGTTACTAAAACATCACGTTTGGCTTAGCAGCGTTGTCAGAATCCGCGACAAAATTTACCAAGGCACTCAAGTATCTCATCTAAAACCAGAGACATATATAAGAAAGGTGATTGAAGCAGGGTTATCAGGGATTAGTTAATTTGACCCCGTCGACTGCGCTTCACCAATCCGAGCATATGCATTGAATATTCCGTTGTCTTTTCACTGCGACTTCGGCACGTGCTCCGCGCCACATGCTTCGAGTGCGTGAAAGATTCTAATATCGGCATATGTCCTAGATCAATGGACGAGCATATCACGCGCTTCACGAGCTGCCCTTGATCGGATGAAGTGCGCTTCACATGAACGTCTATACAGAGGTGACAAACGAACAGCTGGGCCAGCTCTCGCCATGGCATATGGCTCCTTTATCGCGGCTTGTTGCGCACGTCGCATAAGAGGGCGCGGCAAGCTGCGGACACGCGGTTTGGCCGACCAAAGCATCCTCAATGGTCAATTACTAGTTGAAGCTTACTAAGCCTTGCCTCACTCAGATGGCAGGGTAAGGATGCGAGAATATTCGAGCTGATCACATACAACGCGTTGAGAAGAGGGAGACAGCTGGGAAATCGCATTCAGTGATTGTCAGACACCGAAGCTAGCCTCGCATTATATATATGCCGCTGCGTCAACTCAGTTTCGAAGTGAGAGAAACCGCAATCCAAATAGGTTTTGGAGCAAGATTCAGGAACATGGATAAACTGGAGGGCGAGACTGCCCAGATATTTATACGTAACCTGTACATTTTGAAACGGAATGAAGAAAATAAAACCTTGGCAACCAGTGTAATGGAGAGCATAAACAAGTAATCGTGACAGATCGCAAAATGAGAAAGACACAGATGGCAAAATGGACGCGAAGGATGAAAGCAAGAAATACAAGAGATTTACACATACGGATAAAAGGTAATCAGAAGCGAAAACGTTAATTATACCACGAAGGGCCTTACTATTTGAGGTCCCCACGCCGAGTATAGCATGTTACCGATCTCAATGCGTCGGCTAATTTCTGTGTAGTATAATAAACAGTTCTTTTCTCTCTCTCCCTCCATGCCGCAGGAAATCTTTGAAACACGATGAGGTATGGGTGTCTGCTGCAAATTAAGCCCAGAACCTGTTCGGCACATTATAATAGAATGTCATCATGTTCATCCAGCGAGACCCGCAGAACTCAGGCGCCCGCCATTCAGAGCTGCACTTCATCGAAGCTTTATCGTAGCGTCCTCAACCCATTAAGTCAATGCATGCGGCAGACATTCGCCCCATCTTAGGTAACTAGTAGGGCGGCCGTACCCCCCCCCCCCCCCGCCGCCCCGTGCGCGCGTCTAAGGGTGTGAAACCCAGAAAAGCATCCCTATGTGGACGCAGAACTTGAGCTAAGGTCGCCATCCCGCAGGCATGTTAAAGGGACACTAAAGGCAACTAGCACGTCGACGTCGCTTGTTGAAATAGTGGTTCAGAAACCTCGTAGTGTTACTTTTGTGCCAAGGAAGGGCTTATTTTGAAACGAAATTACGTTTTAGTGGTCCGCATCGCGTTAGCGCACTTCGAGTTCTCCGCATCAACGGAACGTCAGACGTCACTGCTGCCGTGTACAACGTTGCCCGGCTTTACTGCGCGGCCGCCGACACTACTAGTCGCAGAGGGAAAGTGGCGGGAACCACAGCAGCAACAACAGCCATTGAACAATGAGGCTCTTCGCTTTCCCACTTCTGGCTACCCTCGGGCTGCCAGAGCCATCCAGAGCGCGCTCGTTTTTCTCGGGCAGCTCCGTCCCCTCCGCGGCGCACTTCCGGTTGGCGTTCGTTTTTCTTGGGTTGGACGGTTCTGGCGACCCGGGGGTAGTCCGAGGGTCGCCAGACACTTCCAGGACACTTTAGTCGTGGAAGCTTTCTGGAAGGTTTTGGGCCGGTTTCGGGCTAGCAGACGCCGAAAAGGTACGATACGCGATTAGCGCCATCTTCGTGAGGACTCGATGGATTGTAATGTGGATGCTTGAGGACTGCGCCTTCGCTTGTCAGTACGCGTGGCGTTATCTTCTAAAGCCTGTTCCGCCTTGCGAGATGAGACGATTACGAGTGGCGGCGAGTGTTTGAAGCTACTGTTCATCGCTTTTGCTATGTTTCCCATGAAGCTTCCTCCTGTGAACAACGCGGCGAACTGTTGACTGCTGACTGCGTCGTGCACATGCCTCAAAAGTTATGTACTACACGTTCGTACGCACGCATACAGACTACTTTGGAGTTTTAGATGCGGAGCATCTTATACTCGCGCCTTGTAGTGCGCCGTCCGCGTCGTCCGCGCCGTCCACACCGCTTCTCGAACATTCGACAGCTGACGCGCGCGCATGCGCCGTCGCGCCGTCGCTCACTCTTCCACCATCTGTGCATCCCTTCCTCCTCTACACACCGCGCGCGCTTCACTCTTCCACCATCTGTGCACCCTTCCTCCTCTACACACCGCGCGCGCTTCACTCCTCCACCATATGTGCACCCTTCCTCCTCTACACACCGCGTTCGACATCTACAATTCTCCTGATTCTCCAGTGGACGCGCATGTGGCGTCGCGCTTCGAGAACATTCAACAGCTGACAGTGCAGGCGCCGTCGTGCTGTATATATACTCAAGGTCGGCGCTCGCTCGCTCAGTTGCCGCTCGTCGGTTGGTTTGTACGGCGCGTCGACGTCCAAGGTCGCGGTGAAATGAATTCCAACGAATCCACAAAACACAATGATCGACGTCCCTTCGACCAGCGCCGCCCTTTCGCATACGTGTCGTACGTGTTCACTCATTTAACACCCCTCCTACAACCACGTTAACCAATTTAGCCAGCGACCCAAGTAAGTCGCAATTTAACACCCCATTTCACAACCACGTTAACCAATTTAGTCATCGACCCAAGTAAGTCGCACTTTAACACCCCGTTAACCAATTATATGGTCCGCATCCTCCTCAGTGTTCCCCCGAGGGAAGCTGCGGGCAATTTTTTTTTTCATAGTTGTCGAGATTTTGGTAGTCGTTTATGGAGCCGTGCCTGCTTTCTGTGCACTCAGCGAAGACGATTGTGGTCCAACTAGCTCACTCCGTCGTATGTTTGCCTGCGTGAACCTCTTAGAACATCTGTCCTGACTACTCGATTGATCTTCGATGGTCATAGAAGGCCCTAAATTGCGGCTGTTGGTGACGCTCGCTGGTCAAAAGCGGCATGCGAACCCACTTCGATCTATGAACCAACATATGTGGTATGATGTTATACGATACTACGCGGGAGAAAAAAAAATGAGAATGAATTCAGAAATGTATACATCCTTTCGTTACCCATTTCATCGTTGGCTTTGTCTCGTTTCGCCTCTTCGTAATAATGCCGTGCAGTATGTACTATGACATGTTTGGTCAAATCAAAGCTGATATACATGACATTTGTTAGGTACCACTTAGGACTGGAAAACATGCCCAGGCAAGTTCCAAAACGAGTTGAAAACGTGTCACGCATAAGTTTATTTTATATGCGACGCGCATTCGTGATACCGATACCTATGCATGTGTAAACTTTAGACAAAAACGTAAGTTGGTTAACGCGTGTATGCGACGCATACTAGGGGTGTATATCTTCGAGCTCTTTTGGGGATCACTTTCGCGTGATTTCGCGTCATGTTGTGCAGTGACTGATACATGTACTAAAAACACGTGAGCTTGTTAAGCCGCCAGCGTCGCGGCATCTCACCTTGCATCCTTCTTGAGGAGGCGTGCGCCAGCTGGCTGTTTCGTTCGCGGAGCGAGTGATCACGCGAGCGTACGAAGTCGTACCCCAAATGCGTACGCTCGAGGATATTATTTCAGCTTTTTGGCGAGCTTAGCTACGTATTTCCAAGCGGACAATGCAGAAAAAACCAACGAGCACGCAGCGCATTGTTTCGTTTGCTGCCACAACGGTAGAGTTTGTTTACGTTTACGCTGGCTGTCCCAGCGTTCGATTTTGCGATCTTCGGGCAGCTTCGCATCGTCTCGGGTTCCCCACACACGTGACCACGACGTTATGTCCTGTCCAGGCCGGAACTAGCTGACAAACCTCTGGCTAGCTCTGGCTGCCAGAGAGCTGCCAGAGGCCTAAAAATCAAAGAACCCCAATGTTTAGCCTTGGGTACACTGTAGTCATGGCCTTCACGATTGCAGGCGTGGTTGGTTCATCTGGACCCCGTTAAATG